CACTGACACCAAATGTTATTTAAAGGACAAGGAGAACAAATAGGAAAGTATCTCCTAGGGAACGGGTTTAACAATGTTGGTATTAAAAGATAATCTAATGAGGACTTTGATAAATTACTTTCAGTAAAACTGTGTCAATCTAACCGTGACTGTCAGAATTATGGTGTATTAGCTATAAAAACCCAGAAAAATTATTTGATCTTGGCTAGAGAACAGTATTTAACAATTAGAAATGGAAGCAGAACTTCTGTTGTCTAGATCTAATGGAATTTTTTTACTTCTCAAAAGATGCCACAGATAAAGCTATTATTTAAAATTGATAGGAAAGTTCATGTTCTAAAGAATATTTAACAATCAATGATTTAGCTATCAATGGAAAACAAATGTAAAACAAAGCTAGAGATCAATTTGCATGAGTTAAAATTTAGGACTACTATTAGGAAACTTCTACACAAAGAAATTCCCTAGTCTAACCTTTTACACAAGTTTGAAAAGTCAGGAAACATCCAGAGACCATCCTCAAGGTACCATAAAGTACATTTGCAAAAATGCCAGAACTCCCATATATAGGAAATGGTTTTGGCTTAAAGGCTAGGGAATTATTGGGTGAGTCATTCTAACTGTGGCTTCCAGTAACCAGAGTATTTTAAAGGAGTAAAGTCAAAAGTGAAACTAATAAAATCAAGATAAAATAAATATGATCAACAGTGGTAGAAATAAATAATGCATATGTCTGAGTAACACGTTAGTTTACAAGGCACTTCGATTTTTCAAACTAGGAAAATTAAGTAGACTTGATGTTGGAACATCCTGTTACTCCTTTACCCTGCTTTCTGACCTTTAGCACACCACCCAACTTTCATGAGCTTCATTCTTTCAAGTATTTTCTAAGGCTATCCCCAGGTTATCTTGGTTAAATTGAAAGATATTCTTAAGTAATTTACAAGACAGATGCTCTCATCGAAGACATCTTAAAAAGTGTCCTAGGCTCATAAGGCACACATAAGCCCACCTCTCAGCTGGCAAAGAAACAGAATAGTGGAAGAGACTGTAGACTTGATGTTGGAACATCCAGTTAAACTTTTATGTGCCTATGGGCCTAAGACACTTCAGTGTGCATGGAGAATGTTCTCCATGTTATACCGTTGACTGAAAAATGCAGGTGTCAAGAACTGTGGGTAATATGTTACTATTTGCATAAAAGCACTGCAAAGGAATATATTTAAATGTGATTGTTTGTGTATGCATATATTATCTCTTAAAAGTCACGTAAGAAATTGTCAACAGTAGTTACCTCCAGGGAGGGAAAATGGTGGCTAAGGGATCAGAGACAGCAGAATGACTTTTCACTGTACACACTCCCTTTTGGATCTTTGAATTTTGAACCATATGAAAGTGCTACCTTTTTCAAAAAAGTAAATTTAAATTTAAAAATATATAGTAGGAGTTGGAGATGCTATGACAGTGGTTAGGTGATTTGAGGTGAAACACTGCAGAGATAGGATGTAGCAGAAGAGAAAAGTAAAAAATTATTACAAAGTTTCTGTCAGACTCCAGCATTCTTTGCGGTGTTTCCCAGTCTGAAGAATAATACATATTCCTCAAGACCATCAAATTTCTTCCATTCTAGTTATTTGCCTGTTAAATAGCTCTCAATTCCTCATAAACCTGGACACTGAGAAAGGACTGTTCCAATAGTGGACACAAGTATATCGGTCATCAGGTACAGTCAGCCCTTCAAACCTATGGGGTCCACATCTGTGGGTTCAACCAACCATGGATCAAAAATATTCCGGATAAAAATGGAATGGTTGTGTCTTTACTGAACATGTGCAGACTTTTTTTTCTTGCCACTTTTTCCTACACAATACACAGTGTAACAGCTACTTACATAGCACTTATACTGCATTATGTATTATAATATAAGTAATCTAGAGATGATTTAAAGTATAAGGGAGGATGTGCATAGGTTATATGCGAATACTACACCATTTTATATCAGGGATTTGAGCATTCGTGGATTTTGGTACACAGGGGGCGGTCCTAGAACCAATCTTCTTCCACAGAACCCAGGGATGACTGTAGGTCCTTTCATGGTGAATGAAATAGTGTCTAGTTTAAACCACAATCTCTGAAGAGGTTGCTTAGCAGTTATTCCAGGCACACTGATAAAATCTGGAACTGCAGAGCTAGAGGCTAAACCTTGGACCAGTATGATCCCAAGTATGAGGGAAGTATGACCCATACCCAAAAATGGAACCCGGTCTCAACTAGCCAGAGTTACCACTGACACAGCTGGAATTTTCAGTAGTTTTGTCCTCTACCACTACTTACTCAGTCCAAAAATTTGCCCTAAAGGTCACATTAACTTGAGGGCTTTGGGTGATAAGAAACCACATCTTGGGCCTACAGCAAGTCAGATAATTTTTTCTTTTTAAAGGCAGTACCAAAGCAGTTTCCTTTCCCACACTGAAATCACACCAATGCCTTAGCAGTCCCAGAAACTGGTGAGCCTTGTGCTCAAGAGAGTTAAAAACCCCAGGACCAACAAAACTTCTATTAAGTAAAAAGAACACATGCTTGTTCTCTACTGTGATGTTTAAACCACATATTTAAGAGTCAATTAATAAACAAATATCATTCCTAAATAAGATTTTAAAAATAAAGTCATTGTCAAAGAGTTATTTGAGGACATGGTAAAAATACCTGCTCATAGGTCTGTAGTTTAGGCTACATCATCTGACTGAATATTAATGGATGAGCAATCACTCGCCATAATCCTGTACAATTAGCTCTCAATTTTTAAAGAAAGGACACAAGGAACACAGATAAATAAACTCAAACCCAAATCTCACTTTAGCCAACAGTTTTTAGATTCCTCCTCCAATGAAATGTATTTTTTATCAGAACTAACAGGTAACTTAATCTATTGATGCAAATGTCTTTTCCTTCCATCATCTGATAGTTATCCATATGATGGTTACGACAACCAAAATTAGAAAACGGGGGGGGGGGAATGAGTGAGAGGGGTTGAAAGGGTGGAATGGGCAAGATAATTCACAAACTGGATATACTGAGGCCTCAACAAATTCCTATTTCACATAAATAAAAGATAACTGACACATTGTCATCTCATTTTTAATACAATGGCCAAGTCACTGAAGCCACCATAGCAAAATGTAAAATTGACTTTTGGAAACAAATTGTTTCAGGATCCAGGATTCTACCACCAACACCAGTTAATAAAGTTTACAAGCCAGCAGTTACTAGTTCTCATTAAGAAGTATCTAGTGTTTCATTACCTGATCCCCAGTAAGGCTATGGATAAAAAGCAACGGAAAATTTGGAGGAAGAAGTGATGAATCAACCTCTCTCTTCCATATGCTACATTTTATTGGAATATGAGTAAGTATAAGAGTAATATGAGAAATGAGGGGGAGCGGGTGATACTAATCATCAAAATGGCATCTGATTCCCCAAATGTAGCAACGCTCACTCCAGTAGGTTACTTCACTGTGACTCAAGATCTGTCAACTGAGGACAAAGGGAATTTGAGTAAAGCCAAGAGCACATTCCTAAATTTTAAACCAAATCTTCTAATAGATCTAGCACAAGATCTAACAAGAATCAACCTATAAGAAATTAACCTACTCAACACAAATTGATTCTAAAATGCTTTTTTAAATGAATTCTTGCTAATGCAAAAATTCAGGAAAGAAGTCTGGGGACCTGCTTTCCTAAAGGCACATTCCATTTCTCCATTGGAAAAGGTCACTAAAACATACTCCTAAGTGTCTAAATCAATGTATCATTCCCCTGTTCTCCTTATATAACCTCATTTCTCTAAAATAAAAGATAATTAAGTAAAATCATTGATTAAACAGGTACTTCATTTCTCAGATAAACAGAAATACATTTGAATCTTTGTTTTATAGTCATATGCCTAATATGCTATATGGCAAACAACCCTGGCAAATCCACTGCATTATGAACAAAAATAAATGAACAGTAGCTTTCAAAATACAACTGTTTCTCCCCAATCAAAAGGAAAAGAATTTTCCCAACGCCTCCAATTATATGCCAAAGAATTAAAAAAGAAAATAAGGAAAAAAAATATTTATAAAAGTTTGTATCTATAAATGTCAAGTACCAACATTTCACTAATTAAGCTTTCCTATCATACTGACTTCTAATTATATCAAATCATGAATCTTTGAGGGCACAGAAAACAAAGAGTAATTGATTATAACAATTTAAAACGATCATATTTCACTTTTAGAAGTATAATCACCAGAGAGGCAACAAATTCATAGAATTCCCTTTCTCTCCACTGATCAGTCGGATCATGAACTACAGCCAGAATCTGATAGTTTCTGCCACCACACATACATTAGGCCTCAAACGCACTCCACGATCCAGGGCTAGGCTGTCTAGAAATCCGCACTGTGTCACTGCATAAGGCAGTTTCCCACTGCACACATCCAGGGAGAAGAAAGCCACCTAAGCACTCCGTCAGATCTCAGCAAGGCTGCAAAATGACAGGAGTTGCTAACCAAATAGCACGCAGCAGCAATCATCACCTTTAAAAATCATTTAAGCAGTTTTCCTCTCCGCCATCTCACCTCCCTCCTCCTTCTCTCCTTTCTCTCTCTGCAGTTTATCCCCAGCTTTGCAAGTGAAAGCTGCGAGCTCTGGACTGACAGCTGGCCCAGAGCTCATTCAGAGCCCAGAAACACAGACAGCCTCACCTGAACACACCAGGCCACTTCCTCCCCCACCATCACCTCCCCACCGCCCGACACACACGCACCCTCGAAACCTCTCCCCACACAAATACCCGAGCTGCAAAACACCTAGCAGGCTCAATTAGCAAGAGCAGCACGCGTTACCATTTAAAGATGACTTGGGCGGCCTAAGCTCCAGAAACCTCCCCGACACAGACCACCCCCAAGGTGCAGCCCGGCGGCTGGACCCCTCCCCCGTCGGGAGGGATGCGCTACCTTTAGACTGGCAGTCCGCACAAAACTTGTTATCTTCCTCCAGCAGCAGGTTGGCCAGGACCGCCTGGTACCGATCCACGTCCTTCACCGACTTGCCCGTCATGGCCAGGGTGCCGGCGGGGGCAGAGGGCGATGCGCCCTCCTCGCCCCCAGAAACCCCTGCCTCAGTCTGTGGTGAGGACCCCGGGTCCCCCGCCCAGGGGCACCTCCTGAGCTGGGGAGAGCCCTCTCCTCCCGCCCCGCCCGGCGCCCCGGTCCGCTCAGCGGCGCCCGCCCCCCACTCTGCAGCCCCCTCAGTGCGGCGCCCCCTGGCGGGCTTAGCGAAAGACCCGAGAGCAGAGGCGGCTGCTGGACCAGAGCCTCAGCCCAGGCAAAGGAGCCCTAGAGCCTCCTGGATGCTGGACGCAGAAATGACTCCCTGGCCTGCCTGTCTGCGGGTCGTGCGTCCCGCGCCTCGGTTTCCCTGGCAGCTGCTGCCTGCTCGGCCACCACCTCCGCAGCCTACTTCCGGCAGCTCTTCCTCTCCACCTCCGCCCGGCTCGGCTCGCGCATGCGCCCCGCCCCCACCGCTCGGCACTGGGCTCTTCTCTCAGCTTCGCCTCTCAGGAACCAATCCGGAGAGAAATGGGGGGCGGGGCTTGAGGTGGGGGCGGAGGGAGGGGTGGGCACGCCCCCTGCGTGTCCTTGGAAAAGAATGAATGGAGCCTGGCAGCAAGAGAGTGGAGGGAATGGAAGAAAGTGAAGGAAAACGACAACTAATATTTACTGAGCTCTTACTATGCACCAGGCACTGTGCTAAGCGCTTTACATGAATCATCCCAATATAATCCTCGCAACAACTCTATGACTTCAGTACCTATCATCCTTACGTAACCTGAGAGTTGTGGTTACCTCAAAGTCCTCCAGCTTATATTTTCCTTCAACGGTCAAATAGAAGGCACTAATCCAATAACCCAGGATAAAGGGATGTCACAGCCTCCCCAAGTTTTCAGAGGATTGTGGTCACCTGTCACTTGGAATGCCTGCTCCCCCCCATATTCATGGCTTTTCTCTTGAGACCACAGGCATCTTTGACATTGTTTGGCCTGGTGCCTAGGCAGTTTGTTTCTTCTTTCATTCCTTAAATCCTCACAAAACATTGAGTTTTGTGCAGCGGAATTTTTTTGACGCTTACTTTATGGGGGGTGATTACAGCATAGCACAGAACAGGCAACTACTTAAAAATGACTATCAACATCATTGTCTTCCTGTCTGTTCGTGGATCTAAAACAACAAAAACAACCAAACAAACAAAAACCATTGTCCAAAAGCCACCCTTGCTACAGAGAATTTCCCAGTGGCTGTCCTTTTCTTTAGGGATCCCACCTGCCATCTGGCTAGTGTTTTCATTCATTCATTCACTGAGTAAATTGTTACTGAGAAACCTCTAAGTATCAGGCACTGTACTGGGGGACAGAGGAACACATGATGCAATTTGTGGTTTTAAAACACTACTCTGGGCAGGTGCCTGTAATCCCAGCTACTGGGAGGGGGTTGAGGCAGGAGAATCATGTGAGGCCAGTGTGTGAGACCCCATCTCTAAAAAAAAAAAAATCACTGATAAGACCAGATGCTCAGAGTTATCTCTAGTGAAACCCTCTCCTCCACCTCTTTACTTTCTCCCAAGACCAGGCTTCCCTCAAAACTTTTATCTCATCAGAAGAAAACTAAAACTTTATATGACTTTATTAATCAGAACAATTCAATTCTCTATCCAAACCTCGTCTTTCTAGCCATGCCTAGGACACTCAACTTTCATAAACACACAAGTCCATTAAAGTGCATTTTCTGAGGAAAAAACCCTCAAAATAGGTATTACCATAACCATTTTTCAGTTGATTTAACAGAGGGTCAAAATTACCCAGTTAATTTTTTTTTTTTTTTTGAGACAGAGTCTCACCCTTTTGCCCGGGTTTGAGTGCCATGGCGTCAGCCTAGCTCACAGCAACCTCAAACTCCTGGGCTCAAGCGATCCTACTGCCTCAGCCTCCCGAGTAGCTGGGACTACAGGCATGCGCCACCATGCCCGGCTAATTTTTTCTATATATTTTTAGTTGTCCGATTAATTTCTTTCTATTTTTAGTAGAGATGGGGTCTCGTTCTTGCTCAGGCTGGTTTCGAACTCCCGAGCTCAAACAATCCGCCCGCCTTGGCCTCCCAGAGTGCTAGGATTACAGGCGTGAGCCACCGCGCCTGGCCAACCCAGTTAATTTTGATGATTAGTTCAAGCCCTCCTCATCTTCATCCCGTCTCTCTGTAAATAGTCTTCCTGCCTTATTCTAAATCTAGTTAAATTAATCCTTCATCCTGCTCTTGAGAGAGTGCTTTTAAATAGCAAATCTGATTGAATCATACTCTCCTGCTTAAAAATCATTTAGTGGCTGGCTCTTCATTACCTATGGCAGTGCTTCTCAGATTTTTCCATCTAGGGAGAGATTACATGTTCTGGTGGTTAAGCACACAGACTATGGGGCCAGAATGTCTGGGTTTAAATCCTCAGCTTAACCACTTACTATCTGTGCGACTTTGAACAGGTTACTTAACCTCTCTGTGCCTCAGTTATGTTATCTATAAAATGGAAATGATGATGATATTAATAGTACCTATTTCAGAGGATTGTTTCGAGGCTTAGTTGAGATAATGCCTGTAATATATTTAAAACAGCTCTTGGCACATAGTGAATAATAGACAATTAATGCTCTTCACTAAATATTTATGGCTTTTTGCCTCCTGCGCACATGCTAAGATTTTATTTCCTAGCTTCATATGGTTGGAAATGGCCAGCAAGTTTGAGCAGAAAGGATGTATCACTTTGTGCCTGAAGCATTTTATTTGCTGCTTTGAGACTCTTCTCTTTCCCTCCTGCACGGCAACCAGCAACATTCAAGACATTGCTTGCTCTATTAGCCTGGATGCCTGAGTAGCTGATAAGCAAGAGCCCTCACCCAGGCCGTGGAGAATATGTAACATGAGCATGGAATAAGCAGCTGGGCACGCAGTGGCTCACACCTGTAGTCCTAGCATTTTGGGAGGCTAAGATGGGAGGATCGCTTGAGGCCAGGAGCTCGAGGAGAGCAAGGATTAAGCATTCTTGTGTAAGTCACTGAGTTTTGTTTTTTATTTGTTTACCAGAGCATAACCTAGCCTCTCCTAACTGATACTTTGAATATTAGGTCTTTTTATTATCATTACTAATAGCAGAGGAACTGGATGCATATCCCAGGGTCTAAAGATATGGATAAAACAAACCTTTCCTCATGTCAAGTACAAATACCTTTTTTGACAATATTTCTGGACGATTCTTGCAAAAAATGTGCACTCTATTCCGCAATGTACAGTGTTATCATAAATCTGTTTCATGTTAGTTATAGGATTTTCTATCTGTCCCTGTGGGCACAGTATGGTTGCATTGTATCTTTGGATTTCAGAAAATTGGAACGAATTGAAGAGTACTGACACCACATTTCAAGCTCAACTTCCAGATGATTCCTCTTCTTGGTCCTTAAATAAGAATATTTTGAAACCCCAACTCACATAAATAAGAGGACGAAATAGAAACTGGTTTTTAAAAACTGTTATATTAGAGTAACCACTGTAGTAATATGTCCAGAATACTACTGAAAAGCTGGTATGGTGAATATTTTTGGTCTATTGACACAGGAAATTTTCACTAGTGTACTTTCTGGCAAAGAGATCAAATCTCTTGAGTCATATGTTTATCTAAAACAGTTTCTGATCCACTGGTCAGTCACTTTACCTATTCAGGGTAATACTCATAAAATAACTTTTTCACTTTTTCATTAAGAAACTGGATAATTACACTCTCCACTTTACTGTCATCTCTGTATTATTTGTCACATGTAAATGAACTAAGGGTGGCAAATGAACTCATAGTGCATTCAATCAACTCTCTTCAACCAATTCTAAAACTTTTTTTTTCAGTGTAGAGAACTTGTAATGATTATTTAAAAGCCTTCACTGCCTTGCAGTGTATTGCCTATGCGGCCTTGAAAACATATATCTGCTATGTAAGCCAACTCTGTGAGCCCTGGGGTTGAGCTACATGGTTCTCCTCTCCTACACCAGTTCCCGAATATTGATTTCCACAGCCTGACACCCTTGGAAAAGTCTCCATGTGCCATTGCTGATGGTGCCTGCTGCAGGAAAGCCACCATCCTTTTTATTTTTTAATTTTTAAAATTTTTT